TAGAATGTGATAATTAATCATCCAAATAAATAGATAAATAAATATAAAGAAATTTAAATGTTAATGTAAATGCTGTTAATATTAGTTACTCTAATAACAAGGTAACATTAACATTTATTAAAAGGAAAATGGCAAGAATTTTTACATCATATAACAAATTGTTACAAAAATCTGCCAATGTACGCCCATTTCGTGATATTTCTGTTTCCAATATGAATTTGATAAATATATAAATATAACTATTCAAAAATATTATATTTTATAAATAAATATTGCAAGTGAATGTATCAGTGGTTCACCAAATTTTGTGATGGAATTTCGAGTTGTAAAATAAATCTAATCATTATCAGTCGTTATCATTTAACAAAATTATTGACATATGCAAATGAAAGAAGAAAAAATATTCAAATAATTTCAAACAGATCACGTTAAATTGATTTTTAAATTATTACTCCATCAACTCAATAAATTCACAAACATGAATCTCGAAGAGAAAATCGTTGATCACGAACCCTTTATCAATTCTTTTTACTTTCTATTATTTATATTTACTCGATAAACTACTTTTTTTTTTATTAATTTTCACGAATTCATCGAAACTCGTACGAGATATTATATATACCGCGAACGATTTCAATGATCGCATCTAAAGTGTTAGAGTTCCTCCGGATACGAGAAAATGTAGCCATAAAGCGAGCCCGATCCAACCGTATCCGCGTTGATTTACACCCAAAACATGTGTCTTTAGTTTCGCATTGAGCTTCGAACGTGGCCGAACCTGTGTCGAGTTCCGATTCTCCTCGTTCGACTTCCGGCGATGCGGTGGCGCCACTTGATGGAAAAGGAAACACTTTGTACAATTTGTAAAAGGGGCATTCGACACGGAAACCGACAACAGGCATGGCCGATAGGTAGATACATCGTAACGTGTTCACGAATATACATTTACGTAAATGTTTATTGCGGATGTCGAAACCCTGGCCACTTAGAAAAAGTATTGTTATTACACGCTTCAATCCTTTCGCCGAACGAAGCGTTCTTGGGCATCGGTGCTCGCGCTCTCGTCGCCAGACAGACAGAGTGTTTCAACCTTGTTTCGACTCTGGAGGAATTTTTTTTCTCGAACATTATATACTCTTTATAAATCGTCGATTCTTTTCTTTTTTTTTTTTTTTTTTTTTTTTTTT